GGCTCAGTGGATAGAGTGTTGGCCTACGGACTGAAGGGTCCCAGGTTCGATTCCGGTCAAGGGCATGTACCTGGGTTGTGGGCACATCCCCAGTAGGAGATGTGCAGGAGGCAGCTGATTGATGTTTCTCTCTCATCGATGTTTCTGACTCTCTATCTTTCTCCCTTCCTCTCTGTAAAAAATCAATAAAATATATATATAAAAAAAAAAGAAAATGACAACCGCGCCCTCAGCCACCAGCCCGCTCCGGGCAATCTCCGCACCTTTGTATTTTCCACACTGCACCTCCTCTGTGTCTCGGTATGCTGTTCTCTTTGCTTCTAGTTGAAGAATTTCCTCTCAGCCAGCTTTCCTGTGCTTCTGGGTGATGTCTGTTCCGTGTTTTAGTTGTATTTTTTTTTAATATATTTTATTGAATTTTTACAGAGAGGAAGGGAGAGAGATAGAGAGTAGAAACATCAATGAGAGAGAAACATGGATCAGCTACCACCTGTACATCTCCTACTGGGGATATGCCTGCAACCCAGGCACATGTCCCTGACCGGAATCGAACCCGGGACCACTCAGTCCGCAGGCCGACGTTCTATCCACTGAGCCAAACCGGTTTTGGCTAGTTGTATTTTTGAAGTGGTTGTGCGAGGCAGCATTCTCTGGTGTTTACCTATGCCGCCATCTTGGTTTTCTATCGGTCTGTCCATTGAGTATGATGTTGGCTGTGTGTTTGTCATATATGGCTTTCATTATGTTGAAGTATGATCCTTCTATTCCCACTTTGCTGAGAGTTTTTATCAGAAATGGGTATTGGATTTTGTCAAATGCTTTTTCTGCATCAATTGATATGACCATGTGGGTTTTTTTCTTTCAATTTGTTTATGTGATGTATCACATTTATTGATTTGCAGATATTATGCCATCCTTGCATCCCTTAGATAAATCCTACTTTGTCATGATGTATGATCTTTCAGATGTACTGCTGGATCCGATTTGCTAAGATTCTGTTGAGGATTTTGGCATCTGTGTTCATGAGGGATACTGGCTTGTAATTCTCTTTCACTGTGTTGCCTTTCTCTGGTTTTGGTATTCGGGTGAAGCTGGCTTCATAGAATGAGCTTGGAAGTGTTCCTCCCCCTTGAATTTTTTTGTAGTAGTCTGAGAAGGATAGGTTTTAGTTCTTCCTTGAATGTTTGGTAAAACTCCCCTGTGAAGCCGTCTTGCCTTGGGCTTTTGTTTTCTGGAAGCTTTTTGATGACTGCTTCAATTTCTTCCGTAGTTATTGGCCTATTGAAATTTTTAGATTCTTCTTGATTGAGTTTTGGAATGTTGTGTTTTTCAAGAATTCGTCCCGTTCCTCCAGGTTGTCTAGTTTGTTGGAGTAGAGTTGTCCATAGTATTTTTTTTACAACCATTTGTATTTCTGTGGGGTCTGTTGTTATTTCAGCTCTATCATTTCTGATTTTGTTTATTTGGGTCCTCTCTCTTTGCTTCTTGGTGAGCCTGGCTAGAGGTTCATCAATCTTGTTTATCCTTTCAAAGAACCAGCTCTTTTTTTTTTTTGATTTTATGGGTTTTTTGTTTTTTTTTCTTTTGGTTTTTTTTTTTGTTTTTTTGTTTGGTTTTTTTTTTTGGTCTCTAGGTCATTTATTTATGCTCTGATATTTATTATCTCCTTCCTTCTGCTCACTCTGGGATTTTATTGTTGCTCTCTTTTTAATTCTTTGAGATGTAGATTTAGATGATTTACTACCATTTTTTCTTCTTTTTTGAGATAGGCCTGTAGAGCTATAAACTTCCCTCTCAGGACTGCTTTCATTGTGTCCCATAGGTTTTGGCTTGTTGTGTTTTCATTGTCATTAGTTTCCAGGATGTTTTTAATTTCTTCTTTGATCTCATTGGTAACCCAATCAATATTTAATAACATGCTATTCAGCTTCCAAGTGTTTGAGTATTTTGGGTTCATTTTATTGTAGTTTATTTCTAATATGCCATTGTGATCTGAGAAAAGCTTGTTATGATTTCTATTTTCTTGAATTTGGGGAGACTTTGCTTGTGACCCAATATGTAGTCTGTTTTTGAAAATGCCCCATGTGCACTTGAAAAGAACATATATTCCGTGGCTTTGGGGTGAAATGTTCTGAAGATGTCAATTAAATCCATCTGATCTAGTGAATCATTTAGGATTGCTGTTTCTTTGCTGATTTTTTGTCTTGAGGATTTATACAGTGATGTCATTGGTGTATTAAAGTCCCCGATTATGATTGTATTGTTTTCAATCTCTCCCTTGATATCTTCCAGGCAATTTTTTTATGTATTTGGGTGCTCCTGCATTGGGTGCATATATGTTTATCAGGGTTATGTCCTCTTGTTGTATTGATCCCTTTAGTATTATGGAGTGGCCTTCCTTTTCTCTTCTTATGGCCTTCACTTTGATGTCTATTTTGTCTAATATGAGTATTGTTACCCCAGCATTTTTTTCATTTCCATTTGCCTGAAAGATATTTTTCCATCCCTTCACTTTCAATCTGTGTGAGTCCCTTATTCTGAGGTGGCTCTCTTGTGGACAGCAAATATATAGGTCATGTTGTTTTATCCATTCAGCCACTCAATGTCTTTTGATTGGAGCATTTAGTCCATTTACATTTAAAGTTATTATTGAAAGGTACTTGTTTGTAGCCATTTCTATTTTTGGGCCTGCTTTCTTTCTGAGCTTTTTATTTCTTCTTTTTACACCAGTCCCTTTAGTATTTCTTGCATTGCTGGCTTGGTGGTGATAAACTCCCTTAACCTTTTTTTGTCTGTGAAGCTTACTGTGGATCCCTTGCCCAACCCCTTCAATTTTGAATGATAGCCTTGCTCAATAGAGTATTCTTGGATTCAGTCCTTTGCTTTGCATCACTTTGTAAATTTCAGTCCATTCTTTTCTGACCTGATGTGTTTCTGTTGAGAAATCATTTGATAATCTAATGGGAGATACCTTGTACATAACTTTCCATCTCTCTCGTGTAGCCTTTAAGATTCTCTCTTTGTCCTGAACATTTGCCATTGTAATTATGATGTGTCTTGGCATGGGCCTTTTCGGGTTCACCTTGTTTGGGACTCTCTGTGCTTATGTGACTTTTTTTTCCCCACCTCAGGGAAGTTTTCTGATATTATTTCTTTAATAGGTTTTCCTTTTTTTAAAATATGTTTTATTGATTTTTCACAGAGAGGAAGAGAGAGAGATAGAAACATTGATGAGAGAAGAACATCTATCAGCTGCCTCCTGCACACCTCCTACTGGGGATGTGCCCACAACCAAGTTACATGCCCTTGGCCAGAATCGAACCTGGGACCTTTCAGTCCACAGGCCGCTGCTCTATCCATTGAGCCAAACCAGTTAAGGCCAAATAGGTTTTCTAACCCTTGTTCCTCTTCCTGTTGTCTGGCACCCCTATTAATTGTATGTTGTTTCGTTTCATGTTGTCCCATAACTCCCTTAGACTTTCCTCTTGTCTTTTAATTTTTTTCTCTAATTGCAGTTCAGTTTGGGTGTATTTTGCTTCCCTGTCTTCTAAGTCGCTAATTCAGTCCTCCGCTTCTCCTAGTCTACTGTTGAAACTTTCAATGCTGTTTTTTATTGCAACTATATCACTCTTCATTTCTTCTTGGTTCTTACATAAATTATTGAATTTTTCATCCATTTCTTTTTGATTCTTGCATAAGTTCTTGATTTTTTTCCTCCATCCAGTTTATGCATTCTAGGACCCTTAATCTGAATTCTTTTTCTGACATGTTGCATGCCTCTGTTTCACTTAGCTGCTTTTCTGGTTAGTCCTCCTCTTTTTCCTTTGGGGGTTTCTTTGTCTATCCATGTTTGATCTCACCGACAGATTTAGATGTTGCGTCATTCAGGGGCTGCTCCTTGGGTGGCTGTGGCTCCTTGGGCTGCGGTTGCTCCTCGTGCGGTTGTGGTAGCAGTTGCTCCTCAGTTGGCAGCTGCTCCTCTGGTGGGTGCTTTTCAGAGCCATGGTTGCTCCTCTGGCTGGTGTCAGGAGGCTTCTCACACAGCTGCTGTTCCTCAGACAGAGTGTGTGCTAATCACGAGGCTTCTGTTCCTTGGATGGGTGCGGGCTACACACGCAGCTGCTACTCCTTAAACTGGGGTGGACTGCTCACCTGGCTACTGTTCCTTGAATGGGTGCTGGCTGCACACTGCTGTTGTTCCTCTGATGTGGCAGGCTGCTTGTGGGGCTACTGCTCTTTGGACTTGGAAAGGTTGATTGCAAGTCTGCTGCTCCTCGGACGGGGGTGGGCTGCTGGTACTGCTGCTGCTCTTTGGATTGGAGTAAGCTGCATGTGACACTGCTCCTCCTCTCCAGGTGTCTGGTTATGTGGCTTGCTCTCTATCACTTTCCAGGGGAACTCTCCCCTTCCCAGCTGCAAACTGTCTCACCAGCTGAGTATTCTTCGCCAATTCAGGGGTGGATGTTATGTGTTTTAGCTGCTCATTCTATTTGCTCCAGGATAAGCCTTGGGACGTGTCTGCCTATTCCGCCACCATCTTGTCTCTCCTCTACGTTTTTTCTTGACTGATTACTGTGGATAGAACTTGCAATACTGTGTTTAATAAAAATGGTGAAAGTGGAGATCTTTTCTTGTTCCTGATCTTAAAGAAAAAGCTTTCAGGTTGTCACCGTTGAGTGTGATGTTAGCTGTGGGTTTTTGTTATGTTGTCTTTATATTGAGGTATGTTCCCTCTATTCCCACTTTATTGAGTTTTTATTCTATATTTCTTCTTGATTTGAGATTTACCTGCTGTTTTTTAAAAATAATTCTAAACAATACTCCCCAAGTTTCTGTACAGCTTATTTTTAGTTTTTATTATTGCACACTTTAGAACTATGAAAGCCAGTGTTCTTGTTGTTTTTATTTGCTATTTAACTTACATACTTCCTTTTATGTACTTGCATAGAAGTACCTCCTGGTACATAAAGAGGAGACATGTTTTTCTTATTATTTTTCAGGCTGGGAATCTGTGTGTGAGAGTGAAGAATTAACCCCAAAGCAGGACATTTGTGAAGCACAGTCATCCCAGAAGATAATAGTAAACTTTAAAAGCTGCGGTCTTGAGTACTCCAATTTGAGAGAGGAATGGAAATGTGAGGGCCATTCTGAGAGGCAACCAGTGAATCAGAAGTCATATTTCATAGAAGAGACAATTACTAATGAAGTAGCCCTTATTTATGAAAGAGGACAAGAATATAACAAATCTTGGCAAAGTTTCCATCTGAACACACTGCTTCATACACAACAGATAGCTTCAAAAGAGGAGAAAGTACATAAACATGAGACACATAAGAAAGGCTTTAAAAATAACTTAGTGGTTATTAAACCCAAGAATATATATACAGAGAAGAAACTTTTGAAATGTAATGACTGTGAAAAAGTTTTCAGCCAAAGCTCATCCCTTATTCTTCATCAAAGGATTCATACTGGGGAGAAGCCCTATAAATGTGTAGAATGTGGGAAAGCCTTTAGCCAGAGATCAAATCTTGTTCAACATCAAAGGATTCATACTGGAGAGAAACCCTATGAATGTAAGGAATGCAGGAAAGCATTCAGTCAGAATGCACACCTTGTTCAACATCTGAGAGTTCATACTGGAGAAAAACCTTATGAATGTAAGGTGTGTAGAAAAGCCTTCAGCCAGTTTGCCTATCTTGCTCAACATCAGAGAGTTCATACTGGAGAGAAACCCTATGAATGTATTGAATGTGGGAAAGCATTTAGTAATAGATCATCCATTGCTCAACACCAGAGAGTTCATACTGGTGAGAAACCTTATGAATGTAATGTGTGTGCGAAAGCATTTAGCCTTCGTGCATACCTTACTGTACATCAGAGGATACATACTGGAGAGAGACCCTATGAATGTAAGGAATGTGGGAAGGCCTTCAGTCAGAATTCACACCTTGCTCAACATCAGAGGATTCATACTGGAGAAAAACCTTATAAATGTCAGGAATGTAGGAAAGCATTCAGCCAGATTGCCTACCTTGCTCAACATCAGAGAGTTCATACTGGAGAGAAACCCTATGAATGTATTAAATGTGGGAAGGCTTTTAGCAATGATTCATCCCTTACCCAACATCAAAGAGTTCATACTGGAGAGAAACCTTATGGATGTAATGTTTGTGGAAAGGCTTTTAGTTACTGTGGATCCCTCACCCAACACCAGAGAATTCATACTGGAGAGAGACCCTATGAGTGTAAGGAATGCAAGAAAACCTTTAGGCAGTATGCACATCTTGCTCATCATCAGAGAATCCATCTTGGGTTGTCACTTACACCTAATTCTGTCAATCACCAAGTCCTATAGATCTATTATAAATATTTCAGGAATTTATATATTTTTCTCTATCTTTAATGTCACCCTAGTCCACTTCACCTGGATCACTGCTGTAGCTTTTCTAACAGGCTTTCCTGTATCAATTTTGCTTTCCTTAAATTTATTTCTCACCATGCACCCAAAATATATTTTTTAATACATACATTACTGCCTCTAATGAAAATTTTTTGGCTTATTATTCTTAATCTAACATCTACAGTCTTTAAAATTTTCAATGAGGTACTTTATTATCTAGTTCTTATGGACCTCTCAGCCTTATTTTATTTTAGGTTTCCTCTATGGGCACTAAGCACTTCCCAAGATGAAAAGCTTAGATTCTAGAAAATTATAGCTCTATCACTACTGTGTGTTATGTGGCTTTGAGTAATTTGCTTGACTTACCTAAACCTCAGAGTTTTCTTTAATTTCAAAATAGGGATAATAAAGGATACTGTAATTTAGAAATGTCTGAAGTTAAATAGTGTATGTTGTAAATTGATACATATTGAGTAAGAATTTTGCATGTAAAGTACTTCATACAATGCATTAAATATAGCCCACATTCAGTAAATGATAGCTAATATTTATTGAATGCCTATTTATGCATCCGGCATTGTTTTACATAGTTAACATATATTAACTCACTCCTCATATCTGAAACAAGGAGAACATCCCTGGGAAGCAACCTAAAAATTTTAGAGCATAAGTGAAGTTTTTGTACTCTAGGTGAGTAATCAATATATACACAAAAAGTAGTAGAAATATAACACTTATAACAAGTTTTAGGAAGTTTCCAGAGAGAATGAATTGGATAAATTTAATTAAAATAAAATAAGTATTTACTGAGAATTACAGAGCTTACATTTAGGTAAAGAAAAGAATAGAGGATCACAACTCTAAGCAATAACAAAACAAGATCCATAAACCTAGAAATTCATACTGTCCCATAAAAAGGCACCAGGCCAAGGTAATTGTATGGTTGAATCTAGTTAATTTCAAAGCTTTAAACTTTCATGCTGTAGGAATTAAGCATAATATTTAGAAATATTTTTTATCCAGTGATTATAAAATTGAATTTAAGAGAGGACTTAGGGAAGAAAACTACATATATATGTATTTCATTCATTCAGTGAATATTGGATAGCTACTATTTGCTAGGTACTTACACTATTATAGGCATGAGGAGACAATGATGATAAATACGAAGACCATGTTCACATAGAGTAAAATTCCAGAGGCTGGAAGTGTTAATACATAAATATAAGCATAGATTTCCACACTCAAAAGATGGAAGAATAATGAAGTAAATTAAGAAGTATTATATAGTCTAGACCAGTGATGGCGAACCTATGACACGCTTGTCAGATGTGACACACGAACTCATTTTTTTGGTTGATTTTTCTTTGTTAAATGGCATTTAAATATATAAAATAAATATCAAAAATATAAGTCTTTGTTTTACTATGGTTGCAAATATAAAAAAATTTCTATATGTGACATGGCACCAGAGTTACGTTAGGATTTTTCAAAATGCTGACACGCTGAGCTCAAAAGGTTCGTCATCACTGGTCTAGACTCTAGACTGAAGAGACTAAAGATAACAAAGTTGCCAGTTATTCCTACTTCACAAATTCATTGCATTTTGAACTAAAATTTCTGAATGGGCCTTTTTGCCATTTATTTTCACAACTGTGTTCTGAAATTCATCTATGAAGTATGAATTATTAAGAATGGGAAGAAAGTTCTTGAGAATGATCTGTTTGTAGAAATTTTGCATATGATAAAAATGGTTCACACCAGTAAAGAAAGAATAGATTCCAGGATAGTATAATAATTGACTATATGCATCACTAGTAGTAAGGGTAAAGTAAACAAAACCACAATGAACTATTTCAAGATCATCACATTGACAAAAGCATTACATTGCTAATGACTTAAAATATTTACAACATTGGAATGTGAGTACAGTTGTATTTGGAAGTAGTTGTGCTTAGAATAATTAGGCGATATCTAATAAAGTTAAGGATGTGGATATTCTGACCCAGCAAATCCACTTAAACCTCTACAGCAAGCATGTCAAAATCAAAGGTTAACATGGGCCAAATAAACAAGGTTTAAGTTTGTTTATTTATGTGGGCAGAAAAAAAAATGCTTCAATTTTCATAGAAACGCAGGTTTATTTCAATAGAGACATGCTGAATACAAAGAGCTGAAATGAGTAATCATTAACATAAAATAATAGAACATTTTAATAAAAATCTTTTTTCTTGAACATTAACTTTCCAGACACCTAGTAACTGCACAAATTAAAAAGTGTAATGCAAATAAACCTATTTTTCTTATTCTCTGAAAGCAAAATATTTCCTGTTGTGCACACCAAACAAGTCAGTCCAAGACTAATGACATGGCAAATTAGCTGCTAAAATATTTGCTGCTAGTATTAGGAGAGAAATGGTGCACCTGCGTGTAAAGGTGAGTAAGGGAAATGAACGCAACACAATTATAGCAATCAGTCATTAGCGTACGTTGTAGTTCGTTATTAATAATTATGTATAACAGGATATTGTAAAAATTAAATTACAAAATTTTTACTAAAACGTTTCTTACATACCATTATATTGGCTGGGCCACAAAAATATTCATTGTGGGCCACATGTGGCCTGCAGGCCATGATTTTGACATGCTTGCTCTATAGAATCTGTCCTCAGGTGTTCAGGGAAATGTACTTGAAAATCCATTTCAATATTGATTGTGAGAATGGAAGTTGAAAGTAACAAAATAACCCAAGTTAAAGTGAATGAACTAGATATACTTCTATCAACATGGACAAATCTCAAAAACAATGAAATTGAATCAGAGAATTTTGTATAACATGGTACGACTTATATATATATAGTGCAAATCAACACATTTTTTCCTGTGCTAAATACCATATAGAAATAGTTTAATAGCATTTATGGAAATAATCATCAAATTCAAAACAGTGTGACCTCTGGGGAGGGTGAATAATGATATTGAGGAAAGGATGCAAATAATAATTTCTTCAAAATATAAGCAAGTATGGCCAATTATAATTTGATAAAGCTGGTCATGGGTTTGTTTATAGATAGGTTTTTACTCTCTGTACCTTTTGTACATTTAAACTATTTCATAATAAAAATATTTAAATTATGTTTGCTTTTTTCAATTATTTGCTTGCTAAACCTCAGGTTTGCAGATGGTGTTCCCATTGATATTCACCTTCTCTTTAGAAAGAAGCTCACATATAATTGACTTCCATATGCATTCACTGTTAACAAATTGTTGACTCTCCTAGAATTTTGAGAGTGACTATATTTTTATACTGAGCATTTTGTAGCCTACTTATTACATGATTTCTCCATCATTCTCCCCTCACCCAACTTTCTTGAGGCATGACTGACAAAATTGGATATATTTAAGGTGTACTGGTTTCGGCCAGGATTTCCTCTTTTTAAAGGCTGAATAATATTTCACTGTGTGTGTTTACACACACAATTTTCTTTATAGTCATGAAGGTTGTTACATTTCCTTTGGGATATATATATATATATATATATATATATATATATATATTCAGAAATAGGATTGCTGGGATATATGGCAGTTCTGTTTTTACTTTTTTAGGAACCTTTATACTGTTTTCCATAATGGATGTACCAATTTACATTTCCACCAACAGTGTAACGGTTTCCATTTCTTCACATCTTCTTCAATGCTTTTTATCTTTTGACATTTTTAAAATATCCTAATAGGTGCAAGGTGACAACTCTGACATATTTGTGATTTTGGTTTACATTTCTCTGATAATTAATGATGTTGAGCATCTTTTCACATACCTGTAGGCCATTTGTCTTCTTTCGTAAAGTGTCTATTCATGCCCTTTGCCGATTTTAAATTCATTTTCTTTTGTATTGAGTTGTAATAGTTTCTTATATAATTTGGATATTAAGCCCTCATCTGACATATGACTTTCAAGTATTTTCTCCAATTTCATAGGTTGCCTTTTTATTTTTTATTGATTCCTTTGCTGTGCAGCAGTATTTTATTTGGGTGTAGTCTTAATTATTTATTTTTGCTTCTGGTGCCTGTTTATGGGGCTAAATAAAAAAATTATTGTTGCCGAAGCCAGTTTGGCTCAGTGGATGGAGCGTCGGCCTGCGGACTGAAGGGTCCCAGGTTCGATTCCGGTCAAGGGCATGTACCTGGGTTGCGGGCATATCCCCAGTGGGAGATGTGCAGGAGGCAGCTGATCGATGTTTCTCTCTCATCGATGTTTCTAGCTCTCTATCTTTCTCCCTTCCTCTCTGTAAAAAATCAATAAAATATATTTTTAAAAAAAATTATTGTCAAGACCAATGTCAGGGAACATTTCCCAGTTTTCCTATATGAGTTTCATGGTTTTAGGTCTTAGATTTAAATCTCTACTACATTTTGCATTATTTTTCATGTAAAATAAGGGTCTAATTTTATTCTCTTGCATGTGGATATCTAGTTCCCAACAGCATTTATTGAAAATACTGCCCTTTCACCATCACGTGTTCTTGGTTCCTTTGTCAAAAATTAGTTGACTGTATATGTGAAAATTGATCCGTAATCACTCATTCTTTTTTACTTTTTTAAAATTCTTTCTTGATTAAAGTATTACATATGTCTTCTTTTCCCCCCATTGACCTTTCCCTGGCCACTCCCACCCCCCAAATCATGCCCTCAGCCCTCTAGAGTATGTGTCCATTGATTATGCTTATATGCATGCATACAAGTCCTTTAGTTGATCTTTTACTCCCTCCCCGCCCACAACCCACCTGGCTGTCTCTCAGAGGCTTGATGGTCTGTTTGATGCTTTTCTGTCTTGGTATCTATTTTTGTTCATCATTTTATGTTATTCATTATATTCCACAAATGAGTGAGATCGTGTAATATTTATCTTTCTCAACTGGCTTACTTTGCTTAGCATAATGCTCTCCATGTCCATTCATGCTGTTGTGAATGGTAAGAGTTTATTGCTTTTACAGCAGTGTAGTATTCCACTGTGTAGATGTACTACAGTTTTTTAATCCACTCATCTGATGATGGGCACTTAGGCTGTTTCCAAATCTTAGCTACTAGAGGCCCAGTGCATGATATTCTGCACTTGGGGGTGAGGG